CCTTTTTTTTTTTTTTTTTTTTGGTTTTATGTGGGTGATCTTGTTTGTGTGTTTCTACACAAATTCAGCAATTTGGATTTCTTGTTAGATTACTTTTAGTTCAGTTTAGAAGCTCGGCTATTTATGCCTTTTTTTTGGTCTCTTGTAAAAAAACAGGGTGCTTGCAAGGAAACTAAGGACTAATGTCTGTGGAACAACAACGAAGATCTTCCGGAGGACTTGTTCAGTCTCTACTTCTTCATCTTCCAATGTAAGATGATCCATCCGCTTTTTATGTCCTTGTGAATCTTCATTATCTCTGTCTTGGATTGATAAAGGATGACACTTTGAAGTCTTCTTTAGTAGCTGTGGTCATGTGGTTCATCATGTTTGGGACAACAAGAACCTTGTTTGTTTGATGCCTTATATTTTCATATTAAATCATTTCTAGAGTGGGAGATTGAAGTGTGATTTTGTACAAATTAATAGTTAAATGATTTTTAGGAGGAGAGCAATGCGAAAAGGAATCCTACTGACGATAGTCCACAACATGACATTGCTATTGTCGGTGGTGGAATGGTTGGAATCGCTTTAGCTGCTTCTTTGGGTAAGCAATGTTTGCTTTCGTCTTTTTTTCTCTCGATTTGCCCGTAATTAGTTGTGACGACATGCTTGTTATTCTTTCAGCTAGCAAGCCATTGACTAAGCACTTGAGTGTTGCTATTATTGACAACAATCCTCTTTTGGGGAGAAAAAATACCATTGAGAGAGGGCACCCACCTGATCCCAGAGTCAGTACCGTCACTCCTGCGACAATATCCTTCCTCAAAGGTTTCTTAACTTTCTCCTTTCTTCCCACAGTTTGTGTTTTCTATAATTGGTTAATAGAAGAGCTTACAAATTGTAGCATAAGTTTCATCTGAGTTTGAAAGGCTGGTTTTGCCCAATTCGAACTCAAATCTTGAGCTAGTCTTTGTCCTTATACAGTCCATGACTTTCATCTATAGTTATAACTTTGGAGTCATATATTTGGTTTAATCATGCAGATATTGGTGCCTGGAAATACATTGAAGAGCAGCGACATGCCTATTTTGACAAAATGCAGGTAATGATTATTATTATTAAGTTTTAGAAACTTTTATATCATGTCTGCTGGAATTTTTTGAACTTCCGAAATGCATGACCACATCTAGCTTATTGTGGTTTGTGGCTATGATTTTGGTGGAGCCATATTTCTTGATCATGAACATTGCTTTTGGCGCTTATCTCTTTACATATTGGTAAAACATGTCCCTTTCTTTATTTGAAGTTGACCTTAAAACCAAAACTACATTCAGATCTGCATACACTTATAATGATCAGCTAGACGTAAACAAAGTCATATGTCATTTTTTGTTGTTGTTTTAGGTCTGGGACTACACGGGCCTTGGATATACAAGATACAATGCTAAAGATGTTGATCAAGATATTTTGGGGTAAGCATATTGATACATATATTTTCATCCTTGATGATGTTAATAGTTGTGTACTCATTCTTGACATGATCCAGGTGTGTTGTGGAGAATAAAGTTCTTCAGAGTTCTCAGCTATCTTGTGTACAGGTATTTTGCTTTCTTAGGTCCATCCAAGTTTTATTCATCAGCTTGATGCATTCAGGTTTCTCTAAGCAAGATACGTTATTGGGCCCATACTTGTAATTCGTATCTTGCTTGTCCTTTCTGTTGTCATTACAGTATTTTTGCTCGTTTCAAAACTTCCAGCTACCTTTTCATTTCGATAAATGAAGCATAGCTAAATATCAACCTTCCAAAAGGCTTACTTATATAAGCTAAGACGGGTCTTCACCTGAACGCAACTTTAGAAAGAGAGTTTCTGCTAGTTGCTTATAAGTTGCTAAACCAATTACTACCTTCTTAGTCAGATTATATCAGTCATGTTTTTACTCAAACGAGCTTGGTTTTTGCAGGAATCAGATCTCCAGAAGACTATCTATCCAGCGAGGTTAAACTCAATGGATATGTTACCTAGTTCTTCCTTGACTGGTCTTGGTGAAGTACCATCCACAAAAGATTTGTTTATGCGAGGACGCCTTGCGAAGCTGGAGCTAAACGATGGTAATAACGTCTATGCAAAACTGGTGGTAGGTGCCGACGGGTCTAAGTCTCGAGTGAGGGAGCTGGCAGGGATCAAAACAACTGGATGGAACTACTCTCAGAACGCTATAATTTGTACAGTTGAGCACACTGTCGAAAACTTCACTGCGTGGCAACGGTTTTTACCCAATGGACCCATCGCGCTTCTTCCCATTGGTGACAAGTTTAGCAACATAGTCTGGACTATGGATCCAACAGAGGCGTCAGATCGCAAGTCGATGAGCGAGGATGACTTCATCAAAGCTGTAAACGATGCTCTGGATTATGGATACGGTCCACATCCAGAGACAACAAGTTCAGGGGGTAGTAGTCTCTCCTGGCTTACAGGAGATGTGAACATATCTGCCAAGGAGAGGTTTGAGACTCCACCAAAGGTGTTGAAGCTTTCTTCAGAAAGAATGATGTTTCCTTTGTCTTTAAGGCATGCAAAAGACTATGTGTCAAACCGTGTGGCTCTCGTGGGTGACTCAGCTCATACTGTTCACCCATTAGCCGGCCAAGGAGTTAATCTAGGATTTGCAGATGCGTGTGCTCTCTCCAGAGCTATAGCAGAAGGCATTGCTCTTGGTACCGATATAGGCGAGGTACGTATGCTTGGACTGGATTCTAAGTCTTAAACCACATGTTGATGATCTTGTTACCTCAGTTATTGATTGCTTGAACATGTATCTTGTAGGCGAATCTGCTCAAACGGTATGAAGCCGAGAGAAAACCTGCAAATATAGCAATGATGGCGGTCTTAGATGGAATCCAGAAGATGTACGCAGTGAATTTTGGACCTTTGAATGCACTCAGAGCGGCTGCGTTTCACGGGGCACACTACATTTCGCCGCTTAAGAAGCGTATCATATCATATGCTTCAGGAGAGCAGTCTTTGCCACTCTTTTCTTGAGTAAGCCTGTCTCTGATCCCTGAGATTGGTCACCCCATACTCTGAATCTTCTCTTCTTTTACCTTATAGATAATGAAAACAGCTTCTGTAACAAATAAGCCGGTTATGTAACGTGACCTGTATCTTAGAACTTTATATTTCGGGATAAAAATCTTGCATAATGTGATGATAGACTAAAATATGTTAAATCAGAATATTTTGCATGATATTAGATGTATATAAGATATAGGCCACACTGGAAAGGAAAATACACTTTCATTTCATCTTTTATTACTACAGGAAGTATATGTGTTAATGGTGAACAGACAATATTAATCAGCTGTTGTCTATATATTTTATCGGTACACTATAAATTGAAACTTATATGCACAATTGTACAAAGCTCAATACATCATTTACAAAAAGGTATCCCGAACTATTCTCGCCATGACTCTTGACCCAAGCCGACTCATGATCTCTGGCAATACTGTCGCAGAGATTCCAGGCAACACAGGAAGCAGTTCCCGAACCACTTGAGATACATCTACTACCTGTTTTATGATGTTGAACACACACACAAGTTCAAAAACTCTGGTACTACGGAGATTGATTCTCAATTATATATGACAACGTTTAGAGAGATTTATGAATCTAACCTGATCAGGGTTATTCGACATGGAGCTTCTTGCGGTAAGGAACTCGATTACTTTCTGAACATTGTTCAAGATGACTTTGTCTTCCTCTGTTACAGATGGAAGAAGTGCTGCAGGCCTGAAGGGTCCTAGTGTTGGTACCATACCAAATACTGGTGGAGCGTTTCTGAATCCAAAGACCGCCATTGCTTGCACCAGCTGTTCTCTCGTGATTGCATCGATGCCTTTGACTATCTGTGTTTTGAGTAACCACAACATTTGTCAGAACTCAGGATGCTTTGAACAAAAACCTCATCCAGTAGAAACTACATAGTAATTTTGATCTTATCTACATAGTAATTGTCCAATTCGCATTCATTCTGCATCGGTTTACGTGGTTAGATTTGTGATTAGTAAATACCTCATCCAGTAGAAACTCGCGGAAAAAGTTTCCTTTCTCGGAAAGCAGAAACGACAAAGCGACTCTTGTTTGAGCTGGCTGGTTCGGTTGGGATGCACTGGCTGGAAACGCAGGAACCAAACTACTTGTGTGGTTTTGAAGAAGAGCCAGCTCGGCCATGCCTCCATTCATATCTTCCCCTCCTCCACTTTTGGCTGCTGTAATGAAAGTCTCAAAAGCTTGCATCACATCGATGAATCTCTCAGCATCAAAAACGCCAGTCTTCCCATATATTGTGTACCGTAAAGCCTCCCTCAGGCGAGGTGATTCATCGGTCAGGAGCCTCTAAATATTGGGGCAATCATATGAAGACATTGAGAATCAGTAATTTGTAAGGTCTAATGAATGAGTTGTCTGCTCACAGTTACAGAGTTCATAAAAGAAATACCTGAGCGATATAAGGATAAGCCTCGTCCACAATAGCAAATTCAGGATTCCCCACTAGAGCTATCCCTTCAAGCACACCAATTGCTCTGATTATAAGAGCGAAATAAGGTGGAATTCTGAAAGGATAGTCAAAAGTTATCTGCGCCAAATCTGCTGCCAACTCCTGGAAGTTGATGTTTTTAGCCCCACCACCTTCGAGTGCCTGATCAAAAACCTTGGCCAGGACAGGTAATATAGGTGCCAGATTGACCCCATCAGGGATGAAACCAAGTTTGACAAAATCTTTGACAATGGCATCATAATCTCTGTGAATTAAGTGTGCAATGGCTTCAATCATTCCGTACTTCTGATCATCAGTCAATTTCGTAACAAGACCTGCCAATGCACAGACAAACATAAAATGTCAACAGAAGGCCTTTCTCATACCACTTTGACTTTAACTGTGGAACTAAATGCATATCTTTGATAAAATGATAATGCCAATTGGAACTAGAACCATTACCAAAATCGAGAATGGCAAGCTTCCCGTCTGGGGTACGAATCATATTTCCAGGATGAGGGTCAGCATGGAAAAACCCAGTATCAAGCAACTGAAGCACGAAACAGTATCACGGTTTAAAGGAAGAATATAAATGTACAACATTTATTATGCGTAAGTTAATAAGTGTCTGTAACCTGAGCAGAAATTTATTATGTTGTGCAACAAGTATGCAGGGAGAAGTGTTACCTGCTTTAGATAACAAATAACACCAACATTCACAAGCTCTCCAACGTCACTCTCAATACTTTGTGACAGTTTCTCGCCATCAATCCACTGTGTTGTAAGAACCTTCCTTGACGTGTAATTTTGGTAGGTTTTTGGTACAACAACCTGAACCCATCAATGATTGCACGATTAGAAACCATTACACAAATGTTACTTGTCAAATAAAAATTTATGAAGCGTACTTGTGGGAGATCTTTCTTCATCATCTCTGCAAAATATGTACCATTTTCTCCCTCGTTAACATAATCCAGCTCCTCAAAAAACCGAGCAGCCCATTCATCAACCAGTCCAACAACATCTACAGAAACCTGCATGAAAATTCCCGAAAGAACGAAAGTCAGCAAGATAAATGGTGAAAGAGCACACATAAGCTGAGCCATCAGACGAAAACTTGCCTGAGGGAACTTCCGTAGAAATAGACCCAAATTGCGTATAACAAACAAGTCAACAGTCACAGTCTCAAGAACAAAAGGCCTTTGTACTTTCACTGCCACCAGATCCCCATTTTCCTTTAGTCTTCCCTTGTACACTTGTCCCAGAGATGCTAAAGACCAATTTAACAGTAAATCATCTGGAACTAAGTCTACTTAAATCGGTAATAAGAATGACATGTCCAAAACTTACCCGCAGCGATTGGGGAAGGAGAGAGCTCTGAGTAAACTTCATGCCACGGCTTCCCAAGCTCCTCCTCGATAAGAGCCATTGCTACATCATCAGGAAATGACGGGACCTTCACATAAACAAAACAAAAAATGAAACAGAAAAAAAGCCACAATTAGCCATGCTTAGACAGAAAACTTTAGTGGAAGACTATATGACAAGGAATGAAGGGAACAACAATATACCTTGTCACAGAGCTTCTGTAGTTCTGTCATTGCTGCAGGAGACAGTATATCTGGTCGAATACTCAAAGCTTGTCCAAGTTTAATGTAAGCGGGACCCAAAGAAGTAACAATTTCCCTCAATTCAATTGCTCTAGCAACCTCATTCTGAAAATGATGACGAACGAAAAATGAGAGCCAAACTACATATAAGATCCTTGCAAGCAGAACAATACTGAAACATGGATAAAATTGGAAGTAGTGCAACTGCGTGTCATAAGAAATGCATAAGGAACTTAACAAAGATATGCAAGCCACAAGGCCTACATTCTGAGTCCCACCTAAAACAATACATAGATCACTAGAATATGCAAATCACAAAGCCCACAGCTATAGCTAGCTTCGATCTATGATAAAAAGGAGTAAACAGAAGATGGATTACCTCTTTGACTTTCTTGTTGATCACATCCCCAGCAAGGCGAGAGAGAAACCCGCCAGCGACTGAGAGCAACTGGATAACTCGGCTAGCGACAGCACGAGGCCGTTTCCCCCAATAAGCAGAAATGGTAGCCGGATCATACACCAAAGGTAGAAACTCACTGCTCTCACCAGTCTGCAATAGAAATAACGAAACATTTCACAATGCTGTTAAGTCAAAAAAGACTAAACTAAAACTTTGAGTTGAAATTTCGTTAAAGATTAATAAAAAAATTTCACCTCTACAAGCCTAAGCTGAATACTATCATCGGCGAAAGTGGAATCCTTCAAGTTCTGGCCACGAAGGCCTCTCATCAATACAGATAACTGTTCATCTTCTTCCATTTGAGCTCTCACTCTCTTAATCTCTTTTGACACATCGTTGATTCTCTGCTTGCCATAATTTCAAATCTCCATGTTAGAATTTTACAAAATCAATATTATTAAAATCGGGATCGTAGAAGTAGAATTGTAATAACCGTGGAAACGTTGTTGTTGAGTGGTATTGACGCAGAGGTGGACTTGGGTGGGGTGGTCTGTGTAGGTTTGGGATCAGTAGCTACGGCTAGAATCCGGCGAGAGCGGTTACGGTGAGGGATGCTGGAGACGAAGGAGCGGCGGGAGGAGAAGGAGAATCGAGTTGGTTGGGGTCCACAGTAGACGAGCCTTGGCACTGCTGCTTCCATCGAAAGAGAGAGAATGATTTGTGATGAAGAAGCAGTGGCTGGCTTGCCTCTCCTCTTCTTAGAGAGTGTTTTGTATTTCACGGGAGGTTTAACGGCAATGGAGGGACCACGTGGCACAACCAAGCGCATATGTAATTTACTCGGTTGCTATTATTATTTTTTTCTCCATTTTCATTTATTGAGGTGGCTGTTTATGCCGTCACATCATACGTTTCGTTAAAAAAAAAAAGCAAATGGGGCGAGAGAGGCTCGAACTCTCGACCTCAGGATATCTCAGATAGCTATGAGACCTACGCGCTAGCCAACTGCGCCACCGCCCCTTTTGATTGATATCTCTTACTACCTTTTTAATACTTGAGATAATATTTCGTTGGCGAATATGGCGACAATTAGGATGTCAAAATGGGTAAACTAACTCAAACCAATCGATACCCAAATGGATTGAGCAGTTTTATGGACCATGAGTTAGTTCAATCCATTAACTAAATGGATTGGATAGTGTTACCAAAAAAAAAAAATTAAATGAATTGGGTTAAATTATCTTCTTTATTAAAACAGAATCATCGCTATCTTTTTATCCCTACCTTTACTTGGAATATTACTTTCCATGCCATTGGATCTACCTTTTTTTCTTTCATGTCCAACTGTTTTCATGTCTACTCTTTCATATTAATATATGTAGTTAAATATTACCTTTAATTAATCAAAACGTATTTTGTAACCTCTTACCCATAATTATCGGTAGCCACTTCCTATACATAATTTTTTTCTAATACATATATTATCCAACGGTTAATGATCGGTTTTAATCTTACGAAGAGCTATTACGCTTTTTAATATATTCACACTAAAAACAAACGAGTATTGTTGTTTTGGGCCCATTAGGTAATGCATCACAGTTGCTTTTATACTAATTAAGTTTGTATGATGGGCAACCGAAAAAAACATATCGAGAGACAATAAATTACTATCAATTAATTTTTATTAATATAATGAAAAATTTAAACCCTATACATAAATTAATTAACTCTATGTGTTTATATATACCTTTAACTCTTTAGTGAAACATTTTAATCGTTTGGACCCGTATGTACTATGTTTACGATAACACCTTTTAGTGCTATCTTAGAAATATTTTTTTTAAAAATATTTAGTTTCTGAAAAACATATGTCACAAGTGTATAGTTATACAACTTAAAATATTAGTATAGTAACCAAAAATATATATTGTTTCAAAGCGCAGGTTTATTTTGAAATTTAATATTTTCATATAAATTTTACATGGCTACAGTTTTACATATTCAATAAAATATAATAAATTTTGGTATATGATAAAATATAAATTATATTTGACTGTGACAACTAAATGTTATGGATCGTGAAAGTATGTTTTGGTTATTAACGGTATAATATAGTTATGCCAATAATTAATAGGTTATTAAATGATAGATCATACATTTACTAGAATAGATTCAACACAAATATAATTACAAAAACACAAATAATAAATTTAATTTTTTTTAGAAAAATTAGAAATAATATACCCACTTTTTCAGTAAAAGATATCCGTGGAAATTATGATAAAAATATACCCGCCCTTCTGAAAGGGCGGGTCAAAATCTAGTAACCCATATAAATTAATGAATTATTGGTTTTAATGGTTTGACCTAGTATCATTAATGCAAAGTAATAAACATAATTTAAAAATTTGTATTCTATCACATAAAATTACCATTTGACTTACTAATATTTAATAACAAAAAAATGTTAATCAGAAACAATATATAATATTATTTATCAAAATATTTTAACACAATATATTTAAGGAAAATTGCATCGTATGACATTCAAAAATATTATATTTCACTATCTAACCAATTACCCTAATTTGCTCATATATAGTTTGTATTTTCTATAATAATGCTCGTTTTCCCTTCTATGCAACCGGTTAAATCTGTAGGTAAGAATAAATTAAAAATTAATTTTCATCTTTCTTCTTTGATTTCATGGACCCTTTTTCTTCATACGAACTGAAAAGATTGGAGAATGTTAATATTTTTAATTTCCTTTCAGATCTGTGGAGATTGTTGACAAAAATCTCAGTGTTCACGATGAAGGATTTCTGCAAGATAGAGGACTTCGTGATTCGAGAAACTCGACCGTAAGGTGGGAGAAGTGTGAAAATTATGGCTATCGTCATCACGTTTGGCGAAGAAAACCGCCTGGTACTAGAAATTGAAGTGTTAATTCAATTTTGACAAGTGTAGTAGAAAAGGAAACATGGAAAGCAATATTTCTAAACTACGGTAAGTAAAATTTTGAGAATTTTCTATTCGTATAGTTTCAATGTTTCTATTCCATTTCTAGGTCATTCCATATGAGTAAGTCTCTAAATGGAATAATTTGTAAATATGAGCTTATGTATAAGTATGTGGACCTATTTGTAATTTGAGTAGCATGCATATATTGTAACAGTGTATTGATTGTTTGATGTGTAAACAATTTTTTCAAATTATAATGTTATATTCTATCAAATAAATATAGAATTGGAATATATATGTTATATATGTTTTTATTCCGCTTTTAACATCAGTGTCTGTACAACTACCAATTGTTTGTTGTCTTCTCCTCCGGAAATTTGATTATTTAACAAATTCATTCTTATCAATTTTTAGTTTAAGTATATTTCAAATAGTATAGGTTAGTATTATAAATATTATGTACTATTTTCAAATTTGGATATTTGGGTTTAGATTTTATATTTAGGGTTTAGCCATAGGGTTTAGGGTTTAGTTCAGAGACGTCTTTTTCATCAACAAAAGTTTGTATTTCTTTTCATACTATTATACATATGATGCTCAACTAATATAAATAGAATATATCATTTTTATATTATTTTATGGAAGGTCTATACTATGTATTGTACATGAAAAACAAAATATTATAAAGTATTATATATTTCAGATTTGATTTTATTTAAAATATATATTTTAGTTTATATTTGGGTTTATGGTTATGTGGCTAAAGTTTATGTTTTAGTAGTTATGATAGGGTTTAGTATTTAGGGGTGGGAGTGAAGCTCGAGTTCTATACTATTTCGGCGATTTGGAATAGAACACTTGAAAATTTTCAAATCATATGCTTGTCTTTTAGAGTCGTTTGAGACACAATCAGTATAGTCTCAGATGGCATGAATTCATGTCTTTTTCATTTAAGATGGCACCATATGTTTTTAACCATTCCATTAAATATCTACAGTGCATAGTGTGCGATAAAAGTGTGTAACATTGGTGGGAATACATGATTTGATAGTAATGGTGTTTTTCTTGTCTATATATTTTAACAGCAACGTCATCATTTTCTTTTCTTTTTTTACCGGCTACTTATCAAGAATGAGGGTATAACCGACTAAAACGAAAAATAACTGTTAGCGAGTTAATTATGTCAAAATCATTAACATATACCTAATTTCCCTTAAAAAATTGCCTATACACCAAATTAACCCTATATTTAATATTATAGTTCAAACTCCAAAAAAAAAAAAAATGAAACGCCAACGGTTAAGGCATTTTACGAAGAAGTCTCTGTTGTTATGGTCCTTACATTTTTGTTGGAATCCTCTTGCTGCAGTTAAGATAAAATCAGATTTTGAGAGAAACTACAACTCAGACTATCAAAAGACAACAATGCAAGAGGAAATATGCAAAGGAAATATGCAAAGGAACTACTAATCAAAATATTCAAGAAAAAAAAATCAAGCAAACTGCAATCTTGTAAGCCTCAAAAATGCTTATTTAAAACCTGAAGCTATGAACCAATCCAACAAATTCAACTTCAAAATCTTAGAACAAACAAGAAACTCACTAAATAGAGTCTAGTTTCAGAGTTCAAGAAAACTGAAGCTATATACCGATTTAGCAAAACCAACACAAGTCTGAACGATGATAACTTTAGAAACTCAAAAGAAATGAGACTTATTCCTTTGGTGGATGTGTGATCACGTCTTCCACATCATTTGGACTCGGTCTAATAAAAACAATCTCACCTTCGCCATTATCATCTACAATTTCACAAGAAAATAGTGTTACACTTTCATACACATAATCAGTTTATAAGACAAAAATATGTATACCTTCATCATCAGTCATGTAACCATATATCCACGAACGAGTACATAGTAGAGTCTGGACGTTACTAGGCAACAACCGGCTACGGTATTTGTCTATCACCGGAGAACCAATACTAAATGAAGATTCATATGTCACAGTGGTGATGGAATGCTGAGGATGTCCATTGCCATGTATGTAAGTGCATCAAAACGATTTATGTTTTCTTTCCAATAATGCAACACATTCAGATTAGGATGACTCCTCATCTAACTTTGGATTTTCCACATACATATCTAAAGCTGAATTTCCTTCTCCAATAGAATCTGGAACATCATCAAAGTAGAAAAAAATCCTGCATTTGAAATTCAATATGTTACTAATGCCAATAACAGAGGAGTAAGTCAGATATCAGAGAAATAAAGTATATATCAAATAATCAGACACGTATTGTATATGTCACATACAAAAGCTAAGTCATTAAATAAAACTAAGAACTTACATCTTGCACCCCCCAAGGTCCCTCTTCCTCGTTTTGCAACACGAGAATCAACTCTTGAAGAGCTCACACCATGAGTCAAAGGAAACTTTTTCCTATATTCTTTGAAGAGTTCATAAAGCTTCTTCTTAAAGTGTTTTTTATTTTTTCATCTAAAGTAAATGGATCAAGTTCATCATAGCAACGCTTCAAAAGCCTGAATTTCATCATGGGATCCAAAATAGCTCCCATTGCAAGAATAACACTATATTGCTCCCAATATTTATCAAAAAATTTTCTCATCTTAGAAATCATATCTCGAATGACACTATCTTCATTGCTCTTATTCACTTCCAGTAGACACTTAATCTTCCAAACATGTCCAAAATATAAGTAAGATGTTGAATAGCTTGTCCCGGATATTAGAGTAGTAATACAGTAAAATGGCATCAAAATCTCATGGATAATCTTCGCCCTCTTCCATTCTTGACTAGAAGGGAATGCTTGTAGGCTTTGTCAACTACTGTAAAGCTATTTAAAGCATG